CACCACTCTCTTCACCTTTCTTTTGCTCTCCATATACTCTACTCTTCTTATAACACTTATGCTTTGTAAAAACCTCTCATAAGCTAACTTTTTCTCTTTTATCACACTCTTTACTTCATCATTCCACCAATCACTCCTCTTTCCTCCTGCACCCACCTTCCTATAACCACAAACTTCTGCCCCACATTCTAATACTGCATTTTTAAAACTATTCCAACCCTCTTCAACCCCCCCACTACTCATACTTACACCAGTCAACCTTTTTGCCAATAGTTGCTTATATCTCACCCGAACTTCCTCCTCCCTTAGTTTATACACTTTCGCCTCCCTCTTGCTTGTTGTTGCCATTTTCCTCTTTTCCCATCTACCTCTTACTCTAACTGTAGCTACAACTAAATAATGATCCGATATATCAGTTGCCCCTCTATAAATGTGTACATCCTGGAGCCTACCCATCAACCTTTTATCCACCAATACATAATCTAACTAACTACTTCCATTACGTGCTACATCATGCCTTGTATATTTATTTATCCTCTTTTTTCTTAAAATATGTATTACTTATTACCAAACCTCTTTCTACACATAGCTCAATTAAAGGCTCCCCATTTTCATTTACCCCTGGCACCCCAAATTTCCCTACTACTCCCTCCACAACATTTTTGCCCACTTTAGCATTGAAATCCCCAACCACCATTACTCTCACACTTGATTCAAAACTCCCCACGCATTCACTCAACATTTCCCAAAATCTCTCTCTCTCCTCTACACTTCTCTTTTCTCCAGGTGCATATACGCTTACTATAACCTACTTTTCACTTCCAACCTTTATTTTACTCCACATAATCCTTGAATTAATACATTTATAGTCCCTCTTTTCCTGCCATAGCTTATCCTTCAACATTATTGCTACTCCTTCTTTAGCTCTCACTTCGTTTGAAACCCCTGTCCTAATCCCATTTATTCCTCTCCACTGAAACTCTCCCATCCCCTTCAGCTTTGTTTCACTTAAAGGCAGGACATCCAGCTTCTTCTCATTCATAACATCCACAATCATCTCTTTCTTATCATTTGCACAACATCCACGTACATTTGGACTTCCCACTTTGACAATTTTCTTCTTCTTATTCTTTTTAGTAATTATTACAGGAAAAGGGGTTACTAGCCCATTGTTCCTGGCATTTTAGTTGACTTTTGCAACACGCATGGCTTACGGAGGAAAGATTCTTATTCCACTTCCTCATGGATATAAAAGGAAAAGTAATAAGACCAAGAACTATTAAGAAATAATCAAAGAAAACTCAGATGAGTGCGTATAAATAAACATGTACATGTATGTGTAGTGTGACCTAAGTGTAAGTAGAAGTAGCAAGACAAAAGACACCAGCAATCCAACCATCATGTAAAGCAATTACAGACTTTAGTTTCACACTCACTTTGCAGGACGGTAGTACCCCTGTGGGTCATTTAGAGAAGATGGAGCAAAATAGGATGACTTGGAGGGTGTATAAATTTGTAGTGAAGGTAAGGAGGCGTAGGGGGTCATCCTAGGAAAGGATGGAAGGAAGGGGCTAAAAGACGTTTTGTATGCAAGGGGCTTGAACATACAGCAGGCATGTGTGAACGTGTTTGATAGGAGTGAATGGAGATGCATGGTTTTTGGGAGTTGATGAGCTGTTGGAGTGTGAGCAGGGTAATATTCTGTGAAGGGATTCAGGGAAACCTGTTAGCTGGACTTGAGTCCTGAAGGTGGAAAGTGCAATGACTGCACTCTAAAAAAAGGGCTTGTGATATTTGCTGTTTAGAATGATATCTAAACTGTCGTATCTGCACGCTGATAGTGTGAATGTTGGTGAAAGTTTTTCTTTTTTGGGGGGGTCACTTGCATAGGTAGGAGATGGCCAGTGTGTTAAAGAAAAAAAAATCTTAATGCAGAACAAGTCATATGGGGATGGAAATCATTAGCTCTGGATCTTTCACACACTGTGGAAGACTTATATGGCTTATAAGGTTATGGTATGATTATGTATAAATGATGGTGAAAGTGCTGAACAATGATTAAATTTCTTTTTCTTTATGTTTGGGTCACCCTGCCTTGGTGGGAAACAGATGGCGTGTTAAAAAATATAATAATAATAATAATCAGTAGTTTAACCTAGATTTTGTTGTCATGTTCATTATATTCAAGATAGTTTTTTCTCGTAAACTGTTTTGCAAGTAAGTCTTGATGGACATTTCAAAACTAGGCTTCTAAGGTATTTTTTAAAGTAAATATTTTGAATGTATTTGAATTAATTTCATTGTAAATCAGTTACTGTATGAAATGATTTTTGAGAGGATAATGGGGAAATTGTGATGCAACAGATGAGGTGATGTCTGTGATAAATATCTGGATACACTTTACATAGCTGAGCATTCACTAAGAGGAAGGAAATGTATGTGAATCAATCTACTGCTTCCCTTCTTTCAACAAACCAGCCACATCCCACCGAGGCAGAGTGGCCCAAGAAGAAAACCAAAAGTTTCTCCTATTAAATTTAGTAATATATTCAGGAGAAGGGGTTACTAGCCCCTTGCTCCTGGTATTTTAGTCACCTCTTATGACATGCATGGCTTACAGAGGAAGAATTCTGATCCACTTCCCCATTGACATAAGAGGAAATAAACAAGAACTAATAAGAAAATAGAAGAAAAGTCAGAGGGTTGTGTATATATATGTATATGTTTGTACATGTATGTGTAGTGTGACTAAGTGTAAGTAGAAGTAGCAAGACATGTGAAACCTTGCATGTTTATGAGACAGCAAAAAGACACCAGCAATCCTACCATCATGTAAATCAATTACAGGTTTCCGTTTTACACTGTCCTGCCAAGCGAGTGTACAATGGAAACCTGTAATTGTTTTACATGATGGTAGGATTGCTGGTGTCTTTTTTCTGTCTCATACACATGCAAGATTTCAGGTATGTCTTGCTACTTCTACTTACACTTAGGTCACACTACACATACATGTCTTCTTTCTTTCAACACACCGGCCGTATCCCACCGAGGCAGGGTGGCCCAAAAGGAAAAACGAAAGTTTCTCCTTTTACATTTAGTAATATATACAGGAGAAGGGGTTACTAGCCCCTTGCCCCTGGCATTTTAGTTGTCTCTTACAACACGCATGGATTACGGAGGAAGAATTCTGTTCCACTTCCCCAAGGAGATAAGAGGAAATAAACAAGAACAAGAACTAGAAAGAAAATGGCAGAAAACCCAGAAGGGTGTGTATATATATGCTTGTACATGTGTGTATAGTGTGACCTAAGTGTAAGTAGAAGTAGCAAGACATACCTGTAATCTTGCATATTTATGAGACAGACAATAGACACCAGCAATCCTACCATCATGTAAAACAATTACAGGCTTTTGTTTTACATTCACTTGGCAGGACGGTAGTACCTAACCAAGCATATATATACACACCCCTCTGGGTTTTCTTCTATTCTCTTTCTAGTTCTTGTTCTTGTTTATTTCCTCTTATGTCCATGGGGAAGTGGATCAGAATTCTTCCTCCGTAAGCCATGTGTGTTGTAAGAGACAACTAAAATGCCGGGAGCAAGGGCCTAGTAACCCCTTATCCTGTATAAATTACTAAATTTAAAAAGAGAAACTTTCGTTTTTCTTTTTGGGCCACCCTGCCTTGGTGAGATACGGCCGGTTTGTTAAAAAAAAAAAAATGCATGTGTAGTGTGACCTAAGTGTAAGTAGAAGTAGCAAGACATATGTGAAACCTTGCATGTTTATGAGACAGAATGAAGATACTAGCAATCTTAACATCATGTAAAACAAATACAGGTTTCTGACTTAAGAAATCGTAATGACACGATTGCAAATAAACCATACCCCCGGCCGGGATTGAACCCGCGGTCATAGAGTCTCAAAACTCCAGCCCGTCGCGTTAGCCACTAGACCAGCTAGCCACAATAAGATTCATCCAACTAGGTGTAGAAATATACCTAGTTGGATGAATCTTATTGTGGCTAGCTGGTCTAGTGGCTAACGCGACGGGCTGGAGTTTTGAGACTCTATGACCGCGGGTTCAATCCCGGCCGGGGGTATGGTTTACAGGTTTCTGTTTTACACTCACTTGACAGGACGGTAGTACCTCCCTGGGCAGTTGCTGTCTGCCAACCTACTACCTAGGGTACTGCCTCCCACCTTCACTATTTCTATTTTAAAATATTTAATCTCTCAACAGAGTAAGAGTTAAATGAGGCAAAAAGTTAAACATGTGAAATAAATATTCTACACTCATGTCTTCCATGTTGGAGTTCATTGGCTCGAACCTAAAGTATTAAGAGGAAAATATTTTTCATGCTAGGAAAGGTTGGAAGGAGGGGTTAAAGGAGGTTTTATGTGCAAGGGGCTTGGACATCCAACAGGCATGCGTGTGTGTGTTAGGAGTGAGTGGGGGCAAATGGTTTTTGGGACTTAACGAGCTGTTGGAGTGTGAGCAAGGTAACATTTTGTGAGGGGATTCAGGGAAACCGGTTAGCCAGACTTGAGTCCTGAAGATCAGAAGCACAGTGCCTGTACTCTGAATGAGGGATGGGGATATTTGCTCTTAGGAGAGACATCTGAACTATAATATGTGCACCTCTGGCAAGACAGTGATAAAATGAATGATGGCAAAAGGGTTTCTTTTTTGGGTCACCCTACCTCACTGGGAGATAGCCGCTGTGTTCAAAAAAATAAAAAAAGTCAGATTGTGTCATGTTATGTTCATAGTGTCTTGTTTTTGTTTAAACAAAATTCTGATTTAATTTCCTAATTGTCTTCTTTTGTATAATCAGAGAATGAGAGAGAAGACTGAGAGGAAGAGTGTGTGTTTATGAGAATATTGTAATATAACTTCCCCACTATCATTGCAAACTAACAATAACAAGATTTTTCTTAGAAGTTTGATCTTTGTACATTTTACAAGAAATGCTTTTGTGAATTGTTATTTGTTTCAGGTTGAGGAATTAGTATATGGGGGTCACATCTTTTCCTCCATCATGGTGAACATTCCTACCCAGTGTGAAGTGTGCAACTCTTTCCTCTGGCTTTCCATGAAGGCCTACACCTGCCAAAGTATATATATCATTAACTTTTAGCCTTTTATTTGAATTCAACATTTGCTATTTTATTGCACATCTAATATCTTTGACTTAACCCTCTGATGGTCCGTCTTGTAGTTCTACGGCTTTGAAGTCAGGGTCCAAGCCATAGTACTTTGCCATGAGCTCAGCTCACTCATATAAGTTGTGAGCAATAAATTTGAGCCTAGATATGAGAGAATGCATCTGTATGGTAAGTGTGCACTATATAAAACAAATCCTGCAGCACACATTGCATAATGAGAAAAAACTGCCACCGTAATTTTGGATTAACCCTTTCACTGTCGAGACCCCTGATCCTGAACTCACTCTCAGTGTCGAAGAATTAAGAAAAAAAAAATTTTCTTATGAAATGATAATCTTTTTGTGATGGTAATGACACCAAAAGTACGAAATTTGATCGAAAACTTAGGGAATTATGCTCTCTCGAAGTTAGTGGTCTCAGCGATATATACACATTGGCAATTTCACCCACTTTGAGCCCTATTTTTGGCCAATTCCATTGTTACAGTCGACCAAACTCATAGTTATTTCTTTAGAATGCCATTTGCTCTATCGATTAAGTACAAGAAACCACCCATTTGCCGATTTCAACTACCAAATAAAGTGGTCAGAAATTGGCAATTTGGCCAATTTCAGACAAATTTCAAAAGCCAATTTCTAAATAGGGTCCAGAATAAACATTGCAGACATTCCTGGCACTAAAATAACATTTTCTCTGTTCATTAGTAACATCTCCAGGTCCCTCTTGTATTACTCTTGCTTTCTATTTTGAATTTTTATTCACACAAAAAATGGAAGATTTTCTGTTATGCAGACTACTGCATTATTGTAATAATTGTATAAATAATGTCAACCCATTTGTGACTGCATATTAGACTGGCCAGTTGGACACATACTGGATGTTGATGTCATTTGTTTACTCTTGAACATTGGCAAAAAATGAACATTTCCACTACTTTGAGCTCAATTTCAAGGTACTTTTCATTGTGAAACCAATCAAAATCATCTCTATTTCTGCAAAATATCTTCCATTCTATTAAATGAGACCAAGAAAACGAGAATACATCCATATATACCATATGAAAATACACCTCAAAGTCGGCATTTGAATCCTGCGTGCTGCAGGATTTTTTTTTATACTCTGCATACTGACCACACACACCCATTCTCTCACATGTAAATCTACCAGCTTTCTCCTGCTACATTTGAAGCCGCTAGAATTTGGGGTATTAATATGTCACCAACACTGGCTCGTAAGACATATCTACACAGCACCAATAGTGAAAGGGTTAAAACAGCAACTTTGCATTGTAAACTTGTATGTTTTTTACAGTTATATTCGCTCTTTCTTCATCTCATTTGATAGAATGGAAGATATATTGCTGAAATAGAGATGATTTTCATTGTTTTTTACTGAAAATGGCTTGAAACTTAGCTCTAATTAGCGGAAATGTTCGATTTTTGCCAATGTTCATGAGTAAATAAATGATGTCACACATCCAGTACATGGCAGCTGGTGGGTCTAATGTGTGTTTATGAATGCGCTGATAATTTTTTATACAATTATTACAATATTGCATAACAGTAAATCTTCTGTTTTTTGGTGTGAATAAATATTCATTATGTTAATAAAAAATAATGGAATTTGTAAAGCCTGGAAACATAACTAATAAACAGAGGAAATGTTACTTTAGTGCCAGGAATGGCTGCGTTGTTTATCCTGGACCCAATTTTAAAACCGGAATATTTTGAATTTTGTGTGAAATTGCCCAAATTACCAATTTTTGATCACTTTATTGGATAGTTGAAATAGTTGAATGGGCAATTTCTTCTGCTCAATCAATAAAATTGAAGTAATACTAGTGAAATAGCTAAGAATTTGGTTAACTGGAATAATATAATTGGCCTAAGACGGGAGTCAAATTGGGCAAAATCGGCGATGCATAAATATCACTGACGCAGCAGAATTTGCAAGAGCATAATTTCATCAGTTTTCCATCAAATTTTGTACTTTTTATTTTATTATCTTCAAAAAAAGATTCTCTACCGTTTCATAAGAAATAATAAAAAAAAAATTTTTTTTTTTTAAATTCTTGGACCCTGTGGACAAGTTTCAGATTGGGGGTCTTGACCCTGAAAGGGTTAATAATAATATGTAATATATTAGTAAATATTACTCAAGTTGAAATTAAAGGTACAAATTAAATTTTTTGAACTTTTGTATCATTCACATATATAGGAGACTGTTATATTACATGGTAGTTACGCTCCTGAAAACACCGTGTTAGGTAATTCCGTGTTAGATAAACTGAAGAACTTATGGGAAAAATAGGGTTACGTTCCTGGGAGCCCCAAAAAATCCAAACAACTTTTTTTTAGACCTCCAGATCTTACAAAAATAATAGTGAATATTTAATTGTTGTTCAATGTTGTGATGTATTATGTTGTTTTTACTGCTTAAGACTACAAATGCAACAGAAATAATAGTATTTCTTGCCTTAAATTGTGGGTGCTGGTGTTTGTGGATGATTGTGAAGAGAGTGGAGAGTTATGCTGTGGTCCTACTGGGCTGAGGTGGATGGTAGAGGTTCTGGTACTGAAGTCGATGGTTGTACTGGAGTGTGCCTAAATTCTGTAATGGATTTCTGTTCTATTTTACCCCACAGTACATTATACAACTGAAGGTAAGACATCAGCTGCTCTAGACACCATTTCAAGATCCTCTTCAGTGAAAAAGTCAGACAGTCAGCAAATCAGTCAAGTCAGTCAGTAAGTCAGTTATTCATCACACAACTGTGATGACGCTTCAATACAGGCACAGGCTATCTCTTGTCTAATACACATGTATCTCTATTTTCTTCGTTAACTCTAAGACTTAAACGCTTATACCTTTTCTTGCCACATTCAGCAACACTGGTGTGCCTACTGGGAGCCATGATTGCTTGGGAAATACAAGATATGGTAATTAAAAGATCAAAACACAATTCACAAACACATCTAGTTCCTAAGACAGAATGGAATTGAACAAGTATTCATGAAGGCTGGAATGGTAGTGACAGGACGGCGGGAGGTCTCCCCTGCTGAACCACAATAAGGCGGTAGCTTGAGCTGGGGAAATTTTTTCCACACCCACAAACGGAACCGTGTAAAGTTAATTTTATGAAATGTTGCATAAAATTGTACTGCAGTTTTTCAGTAGTGCAATAACCAAAACGTGGCAAATAAATCCATGTAATATAACAGTCTACTGTATGACAAACTTTTCCAAAAAGAATACAGTGGACCCTTGGTTATCGGCCAATTCGGTTTTTGCCCGCTTTTTTGGCCGAAATTATATCTTGGTTATCAGCCATTATTTTGGAGAATGGCCGTATTGGACGCGTAATAAATCACTTGAGCGTATTAAATGTCTTATTTTAGGTTAATATAATATAGACATTTTCATTAATCCATCTTATGATAATTTCTTCAAAATTATATAAGAAAGATGTTACATAGTACAGTGGACCCTCGCATAACGCTATTAATCCGTTCCTGAGCTCAATGTTAGGCGAAATTATCGTTATGTGAATTAATTTTCCCCATAAGAAATGATGGAAATCAAATTAATCCGTTCCTGACACCCAAAAGTATGAAAAAAACAAATTTTTACCACATGAAATATTAATTTTAATACACACAAACTGAAGAAGACATGCACAGTTACATGACACTTACCTTTATTGAAGATCTGGTGATGATTGATGGGAGGGGAGAGTGTTGATGGTCTTAGTGTTTAGAAGGGGAATCCCCTTCCATTAGGACTTGAGGCGTCAAGTCCTTTTCCAGGGTTACTTCCCTTCTTCTTTTAATGCCACTAGGACCAGCTTCAGAGTCACTGGGCTTCTGTCTCACAACATGTCTGTCCATAGAGGCCTGTACCTCTCGTTCCTTTATGACTTTCCTAAAGTGGTTCACAACACTGTCAGTGTACAGGTTGCCAACATGGCTTGCAACAGCTGTCTGAGGGTGATTTTCATCCATAAAGGTTTGCACTTTAAGCCACATTGCACAGATTTCCTTAATCTTTGAAATAGGCAACTTCTTCAATTTCTCTCTCCCCTCCTCCGAAGCAGTTTCCTCAGGTCTGCCCTCCTGCTGCTGAAGATGATCTAGCAGCTCATCAGTGGTTAGTTCTTCATTGTCCTCCTCCACCAACTCTTCCACATCCTCCCCACTAACCTCCGACCCCAAGGACTTCCCCAATGCCACAGTTGATTCCTCAACTGGCATACGCCTCTCAGGGTTAGCCTCAAATCCTTCAAAATCCCTTTTGTCTACACATTCTGGCCACAGTTTCTTCCAAGCAGAGTTCAAGGCCCTCTTAGTCACTCCCTCCCAAGCCTTACCTATAAGGTTTACACAATTGAGGATATTAAAGTGATCTCTCCAAAACTTTCTTAGAGACAATTGAGTTTCGGAGGTCACTACAAAGCACCTTTCAAACAGAGCTTTTGTGTACAGTTTTTTGAAGTTTGCAATAACCTGCTGGTCCATGGACTGCAGGAGAGGAGTGGTATTAGGAGGCAAAAACTTGACCTTAATGAAGCTCATGTCCCCACAAAGTCGCTCTGCCAAGTCTGTAGGATGACCAGGGGCATTGTCTAACACCAGGAAGCACTTAAGGTCTAATTTCTTTTCAGTTAGGTAATTTTTCACATTGGGGGCAAATGCTTGGTGTAACCAGTCATAGAAAAAGTCCCTAGTGACCCATGCCTTACTGTTTGCCCTCCACAGCACACACAAATTAGCCTTGAGGATATTCTTTTGCCTGAACGCTCTGGGAGTTTCAGAGTGATACACTAATAAAGGCTTCGCTTTGCAGTCACCACTAGCATTGGCACACATTAACAGAGTAAGCCTGTCTTTCATAGGCTTATGTCCTGGGAGTGCCTTTTCCTCCTGAGTAATGTAGGTCCTGCTTGGCATTTT